CAAGTAATTTCATATATTGAAAAAAGTCAAAAAAAAGTTCAATTTTGTATTTACAGGTTTTAATCGGCAGCACTCATATTTTTTTAATTTACTTGAATTTGTTTCACAAGAATTTTACCACAACGGAATTATATAATTCATGCCATCTGATATGATTTAAAAATCTTCAAGTTGCCTATCTATACATATAGTTACGATATAAGTTATATCACACACTATAGCAAGTTATAAGTTTTGATATGGCATAATCTAATCAAGTTTCATCTACACTTCTATGTATAAAAATCAAATAAAATTAATATTTACTCTTACAAAAGCAAATTCAAGTCATACAATTGAGTTAATGCAATTCCAAATTGTAGACCAACTTGTTTTTGTATGATCCTTTAAATCACCACCTTTAATCTTCAATATTTTAATTGCATCTTTCAAAAATTAATATGCAGCATGTGACTTTGTAAAATATTGATGAATAATACCTATTTTCTGAACTACACTTTTTACAAATATATGTTTGCACAAGTCTTCTATAATTAAATTAATACAATGCGCTACACATCTGATATCCAAAATATGCAGATATTTCTCACACAAAGTTCTTCATGCAACATGGACATTAGCTACATTATCAGATACTATCATGGCTATTTTTTCAGAACCAATATCTTCGATAATATTAATAATTTCTTCACCAAGAAATTGACCTGTATGATGAGATACACTAGAATAATTTTTTGAAGACCAAAGATATTCTTTATACTCTTCAGTGATTATACAATAATCATATATAGATTAACCTATATATAGTATAGAAGTCGATAAGTTAATTTAATTGACAAAATAATATAATCTTTGCAGATCACAAAGTTATGTGAAAATTGACAACTGATTTCAAATAAATATAAGCATAACTAATCAAGAATATAAAGTAATAGACAATTTAAAGTTTTTCCAATTATCATTACAAAAATAATGTAGCTACATCATTTTGCAAAATGATCTAAAAAAGTCTTGGACATAGTAGACGTAACAACACTAAATTAATCGATTTCTTGCTAAAATCTTATATTTTTATGATAACGACACAAAATATTCTAGATTACTATAAAAATTACCTTTTAACAGGATCATTTAAAGCCAGGCATCTTACAAAAATACCTGAGATATAACCTGGGTCAGTCTGAACACGTGACTATCGTAAAGAGAGTTCGCGATAGATGATAAAATGAATGCTATGAATATTAAATCTGTAATTATA